ATTACATATTCTTGTTCATCATATAATCCTTGATTAATTATTTTATTATAAAATTTATTGTCATATAATGTCATTATAGTTTTTTTTTAAGTTAGAGAAGTAGTCTTCTTCTTCTTTTGATTTTATATAATGAAAAATATTTAATTTATGTTAATATTATTTATTCTATAGTGTAGTAAAATTTAATTACATAAATAAATCAAAATAAAATATTGTGTATAAATGTTTTACAAAATATACACACGTGTTATTTCATTATTTAATTTTTTGTAATAATTAAACAACTTTGTTAGTGATTAATTAAAAAATTAAAAATGACATAATTTCGGGTGCATTTAATGGTTGTTTGATTTTTTAGGCAAGATATTAAAAGAAATTTGAAAAATGCTGAAAATAGAATGCATTAATTGTCCTTTGACTTTTCTTGCTACTAATTTTAGTAAATAGGATGGCTCTTTATATATATGTATATATATATATATATATATATATATATATAGATGATGTGTGTAGCTTGAATCTTTCTTACGCACACTATTATCATATAGGAGTTTATCAGTTAAGTTTCGACCTTACGAGGATTAGATAAATCAAAAAATCATTTCAACTTGTTGACGTGCAGTATAGTGACGGATTTAGGAATTTCACTCAGGAGGCCCCAATTTTTAATGTTAAATAACAAGCTCGTAATTTGAGTCGGAACGCTCATTTCGTATAAAAATGTATTTACTATAAATATAAATATCTATATGTGTACCATCAAGTTTTTAAAAACTTAGAACATGTTTGTTTACAGAATTTTTTGTTTTGTTTAGATTTTTTTGTTTAGTTTGGTTAGTTTTAAAAGCGTGATATGGTTAGTTGTTAGTGGTTATATTAAAATAATATTTAAAATAAAATAATTAAAATTGATTTAATCTAAGTAAGAGAGAGATGATTTGATGTGATAGTTTTGTAGAAAAGTACACAAAAAAGAAATAAGTTTTAGCCAGAAAAAGTAAACAAAAAAAAAATTGAGACGTCATGTATTTGTAACTTAAGTTCAACGTCTATAAATTATGGAAAAGTAAATTTTTTGGTTATAAAATTGATCTAAATTAAAATTTCGGTGCACATTGCAACATTTTTTGATGATTAGATCTTATCAAATAAATATTTTTAAGAAAAAAATAAATAAAGTTAAAAATATGTGATTACACAAAAAAAAAATCAATATTAAAAAATGTAACAATCCAACTAAATACTCGATTTTATAAATTAAAAAACCGATTTACAACAAAGATAAGAGTAAATCATTACAAATGTTTTCGAAAAATTAATTAGAAATGTAAAATAAAATAACTGTTAGTAAATTTTTCAATAAATAAATAATAATATTAATTTAATTAAATTAGCAAATAAAATAAATTTTAATTATTAATGTATTATAAATATTTTTTGCATATATACATATAAATATTGACTTTAAAAAAAATCAGGGGGACCCATGGCCCCCCTAGGCCCAATGTGGCTCCGTCACCGACAGTGTATGCAATATTGTGAGTAGATCAACGAAAAATTAGTTGCACGTATTTATTGTTGTAATAATTGATTCGAGTTTTTCTTAAAACCTGTGGTACACTCATGGGTTGAAGATTTTATAATTTATATAATGTAAAATGGTATCATCGTGACGTTTATTAAGCCATGGCACCTTATAATGTGTCATTTGGACGCGTGGTAAAGAGAGAAAAATTCGCTGCATATAGAAAAACAAGTGACTTTATGCTTTTGAGATAGGAAATAACTATATAAAAGTTCCTCTCTAGGGTTTCTTGTTCTCTCTTGAGATTCATAGCTTCCTATTCTGAATTTGGACCTTTTGTGTCTCCTCCTGTGTGGTTTGATTTCATTTTTTTGGATTGTTGTTCCTGTTTTTCGTATGGCTTCACTCTTTCTTATTATTGTTTATGCAAGCATCCTCGCGATTTTTTCGCTAATTTAGTGTGTCTGCGGGCTAGACAGTATCCTTAATCCCTTTTGGGTGGTTATGGGGGTTTGGGCTCTTATTGTGTTTCCCAGTTCGATCTTAGTGTTCATTACTCCATGTTATTAGTTTTTCTTGGGTTTAGCCTGGTAGTTTGTGCATCTTTTCTGGCATTTATGTTTCGAATCTTTCTAGGCTCTTGTGGCTGTCTATGTCTGTTCTACTGTATTTTGTTATGTGTTCGATTGTTATTTGGATCAGTATGGTTGGTGATCTATTGCTCTCGGTGTGGTTGTAGCTTTAGGTAGTTGTTTTGACTTGGGTGGTTGTCTATTTTTTGTTCTTGTCAAAGTTTGCTCTTCTGACTATTGCCTTGTGGTTGTTTGATTCTTGGGTCAGATTGTTTGTTTTTCTGTTATTCTTGTGTTGTTTGTCTTAGGGTTGTTGTTGTTATATGTGAATTAACAACGATTTATCCGTATAGATTAACTCAGTAGTTAAGATAATTCATATATTATTTTTTTGGCCAGAATGATAGAGGAGCTATATTAAACAACCAATAAAAGAGTCAATACAAGAGACAAAGCCAACAGAAACAACAAACTGAGAGATGCTACACAAAGCATCTAGAACCTCAACAACTAACAAACAAAGGCAAAACAATCTAAAGAAGAAATGCATCTTTCCACTGCCACAAGGCCTAGCTAGAATACATCACTTCCAATAACCAAACAAACTCCAAAACTAAACAAAGAAAAAAGAAGAAAAAATCTAACTAGAAGGGGAAGCATCACAGAACTCTGCAGCTGAAGAAGCTTAAATCCAATCCTTGAGGGCTGCAGAAATGACTATGTGCTCAGGCATGGCTGTTCTTTTAAAGATCCAGAGATTCATGGACTTCCATAGCCACCAGAGCAAGTAGGTAGACAATTGTATTCTATCTTTAACAACATCATTTTGTTTGATTGAACTAACCTGTTGCCACCAATATTTGAAGGAGAAAGTGCAGTGCTGAAGGCCATCCCATTGAACTGGGGAAGATTCCCAAATTCTACTAGCTCTGGGGCAGGAAAACAGAATGTGTTCTGTTGTTTCAGGTTGTTCTCCACACAAAGAACAGGTAGCATCAATGTCAATACCTTTCTTCCTTAGATTAACAGCAGAAGGCAGAGTTCCAGAAATACATTTCCAGAGGAAGTGTTTGATTTTGTTTTGAATCTTTAACTGCCAACATCTCTTGAATATCTGATGAGGAGGAAAGGTGCTTGAACTTGTCTCTGGAATGTCCATCTGCTGAAGCTTAAGATCAGCCAGATATTTATAAGTACTTGCAACAGAAAAGTGGCTTTGGGTTCAAGACTCCAAAAAAGTCTGTCTGTCCTTTCAGGGTTCAAAGTGTTAATGCTGAGAATTGCAGCACTCTCCTCTGGGGCAAAAACCTGCTCAACCAACCATTTGTTCCATTCTGTTCCATTGCTAAGCAGAAGGTCCTTAACCCAGATCAAGTGACCTCTAGCAATCTCAAGGAGGGAAGGATGAGCTTTTTTCAACAGAGGCACCCAATTACAATCCTCAATCCTGGTGGAGTTTCCATCCCTGATTTCAGTTCTAATACACTGGGCAAAAGTAGGCATCACAGAAAGCCAACTATGCCATAACCAGGACCCTTTTTGAGTTCTTTCAGCCTTAAAAATGGAGACATTGGGAAAGTATCTATCCTTTAAGATTTTACTAACCAAGAGATCAGGATTGGAGGTGATTCTCCATAACTGTTTGCAGATCAAGGCCTCAATAAAGAGGCTTATATCATGAAAACCCAGGCCTCCTTTGAGTTTGGGAAGAGTGAGTCTCTCCCATTTTCTCCAATGAATTCCACTATCAGAGTTATCTCCAGATTTCCACCAAAAGGCTGCACACAGCATTGAAATTTCTTTGAAAATGGCTACTGGTAGCTTAAAACAGGTCATAGAGAAAACATGGAGTGCTTGAATAAGTGATTTGATTAGATTTCCTTACCTGCTGGAGAAAGAAGTTCGTTCTTCCAGCCTTGAAGCTTATTTCTAATAGAGGACAAGATGAAGTCAAAAGCTTCCCTTTTCGATCTGCCAATACCCAAAGGTAGCCCAAGTTATCTTGTTGATCTATGAGGTACAATTCCCTGAAGAACATCACAGATGCTATCTCTCAAACTTGTGGGAGTATTCCTGCTGAAGAAAATCCCAGACTTCTGCAAGTTAACCTTCTGTCCAGTAAAGAGTCTGTATTTGTCCAAGAGAGAGATGAGTTGCATGGCTTGATCCACTCTTGCCTTGCAGAAGAGCAGAGAATCATCTGCAAAGAGGAGGTGAGTGATTGCAGGTTCATTGCTTGAGAGTTTGAGTCCATGGAGATGGCCTTGGGATTGTGCATTAGATATTAGAGCTGAAAGAAGCTCTGCTGCAATGATGAACAGGTAGGGGGACAGAGGGTCCACCTGCCTTATGCCTCTTGATGGAGTGATATAGCCACAGACCTTGCCATTAACTTTGAAGGAAATTGTTGTAGTGGTGACACAGACCATGATGAGCTTCACAAAGTCTGAGCTGAAGCCCATTTGAAGCATGATTCTCTGTAAGCATGGCCATTCGAGTCTGTCAAAGGCTTTCATAAGGTCAAGCTTCAAGGACATAAGAAATTTTTCCCTGTGGAGTGTCTGTTTAGGAAATGGTATGCCTCCTGAGCTATAATGATGTTGTCCATAAGCTGCCTTCCTTGCACAAAAGCTGATTGATGGGGACTAATACAATCTTGCAAACAGTGCATAAGCCTCTAAGCAAGGACCTTTGATAGCACCCTGTAGATGACAAAACAAAGACGCTAAAGGAGTCAAGCAAAGAGGTATTTAACCCATAGCAACTGATAGGCCTAAATTGTGATAGACTTTCACGATTGTGGACTTTTGGAATTAAAGTTAGGATAGTGTGATTCCAGTACCTTAGAATACCTCCAGATTGAAAAAAAAACTGAGAATAGCTTCATAGACATCCTTTTTAACTATATTCCAGAAAAGTTGGAAAAAGAGAGCGTTCATACCGTCTTCACCTGGGGATTTCTCCAGGGGCAGGGAGAAAAGAGCAGCTCTAACTTCTTCCTCAGAAACTGGCTTCAATAAGGTTTGATTCATGTCATCTGAGATTGTCTGAGGGATAAGATGGACAATAGACTCTTCATCCCAACTTCCTTCTGAAGTAAATAATTCAGAGTAAAATGTAGAAATGTGGTTCTCTATGTCTTCATGAGATGTGAGCACTCTTCCAGAAGGAGTTAAGAGCCTAGAGATGGCATTTTGCTTTCTTTTCTGGAGGGTGTAAGCGTGGAAGAACTTGGTGTTGGAATCACCTTCTTTGAGCCATTTCACCTTTGACCTCTGTTGCCAATGAAGTTCTTCTTGCTTATGGGCTGCATTGAGTTCAGTCCTCGTTGCATTCCATTGCTCCCCGTAATCTTCAGCTTTATCTTCTCTAAGCACCTCAAGTTTTTTAGTGAGCAAGTCAATTGATTGTTGATTTTTGGACCTGAACTTAGAACTCCAGATAAGAAGGGCAGCTCTAGTATTCTTCACTTTCTCCTTGACTTTAAAAAAAGGAGTCCCTGTTGCTTGTTGTGACCAAGATGAAGTGACTATTTCATTGATCCCCTCCATATTGAGCCATTTCCTTTCAAAGTGGAATCTTGCAGGTATCTTGTGTTGACCTGTTCCTTGACTGAGAAGAAGCAAGAAATGATCTGATGCACCTCTAATTTTGTTGGACACTGTAGCATTTGGAGAGTCCATCAGCCAATCTGTTGAAGCAAATGCTCGATCTAATTTTTCCTCTACAAGGCCCTCTGCTTCCCTCAAGTTGCACCAAGTGTAGTTGTAGCCTTGCATAGGCAATTCTTCCATCTCCATGTTACTGATGAAGGTGTTAAAGCCTAGAAAACTTCTATCACTTCTCGGCTTTCCACCAGATTTTTCTTCTTTAAAACGGATATCGTTCCAGTCCCCCATGGTAAACCGTTTGGAACCCCAACAAGCTTTATCTCTCTCCATTTCCACCCACTGCTGCATTCTTGTTATCTTGCAAGTGCTCATATAGACAAAAATACCCCATTGAGAAGGGCCAGCAGCTAGAGCAAATTCAACCGCAATGTAAAAAGATTTATGCATAATATTAATAATATTTACATTAGAATCCCAAAGCAAAAGCAAACCCCCACTCAATCCAACAGGGTCTACAACAGAAAATCTGTCAACAAAACCTAACTTCTTAGCTACAGATTTCACAAAGCCATTTGTTTTTTTGGTTTCAGAAAGAAAGAAAAAAGTTGGGTGATGAGTCTTAATTGACTCTCTGATTTGGGAAATTGTAGAGGGCCCACCCAGCCCTCTACAATTCCACACTGCAGCTAGCATTGGTCATAGGGGTGCCTTTCAAGGCTGGCAACCTCCACCTTTTCAAAGTTCAATTTCAATTTCTTTTTGTCAGTCTGACCTGTAACCTGGCCCCCTTGTTGTTGAGACTGAGATTCTTCTTCTGACCTTTGCCTTTTAGTTGTAATCTCTTTGTCGATGAGGATGGGGAGTACTGGTTCCCTTTGAAGTCTTCCATCCTTGGTTCTATCTCTTTTCCAGGTTTTAGTTGATCCACTAACTATGGGAGTAGTGAGTCCAGGTTTGATAGATGGTAAATCAGAGGAAATGGTGGCATCAACTAAGACTTCTTCAATCTCCATATTCTTGGAAGTCTCAACTATTTGAAGATTTGCAGCCACCAATGATCCTGGCTGATGAGCATGAGAAGTAAAGATGGGGAGTGAAGTAACTGAATTACCCTCGGCTGCATTGAGAGGATTGTGAGGAGATGATTCTTGCAGAGCTAGCTCTCTATTGTCACCTTCAACTTGGATTAAAGCAGTGATAGGCGATTTGGTGGATCTCTCATTTCCTTGAAAGGATGTGGAGACTTCAGCTTCCTGGTGATGGGGATGAGAAGATTCTCCTTGCATCAACAAAATTTGATTGCTCCCCTCGGCCTGACTTCTAGATGATTTCAATGGAGATTGTTGAGCTGGAGTGGTAGGATTGGTAGATGTAGGGCTTCTAGAATCTGATAAACTCAAGTTTGCAAAGTTCTGTCCTTCCGGAGCTCGCAACCAATCTCCATATTGTCCTTCTTTTAGAGTTTTCGAAATAATGTCTTGTTGTCTTTTATCACAGTTCCTTTCCAGATGTCCTATAACACCACAATAATGGCACATACTTACGAGTTTTTCATACTTAAAACTAACAGCATTGAGCCGATCCCCCAGCCTGATGGTTGCGCATCTTGGAATTGGTTCTGAGATGTCGATGGAGACTAGAAGACGAAGAACGTGCCCTCCATGACTCCCAGCACCCACCACAACTACATTTTTAAGCTTCTTAAAGACAGACCCCAGTTTCAGACCCACTGCTGTGCTAAGCCAGTTGAGAGGGATGTTGTAAACTTGAACCCAAAAACTCACTTCCTGGAATATGGGGTGATTGATTGAGAGACCGTAGAACCATTCAGTTAATATGAGGTACTGATTGTCGAAATTCCAGTTTGTGCCTTTTGCTACTCTTTCCTTATCGTCTTTGCTTTGGAACATGAACTGGAAAAAGTTGTGCCCTAATTCCTTAACCTCCATGGGCAGAGATAACCGCCAAATGTTGCTCATTACTCGTTTAATTCCTACCCAGCTGGCCTTTCGATCCCCTATGACTTTCCCAAAGAGACTGCGCTCACAGATTTCTGCACTAGGTTTAATGTCGTCTTGAGCAATGTCAATGATAGGGGCTTCTCGATCCGATAACGAAAAACTGTGAAGACGCTGGGAAAGCTCTTCATCTTGGCCAATGCACGCTGAAGATCCCATAGAAAGTGGGAGGTTTAAAAATCCCCAAATTTAGGAACCCCCAAAATATCGATGAACCCTAGAAAGGCGGGCAAACCACTCCGATCCCACGAGAATGCTAAGAAAAAATAAGGATAGAGCTGCTAAATATCAAAATGAGAAGAAAAGGAATATTGAAGAAACAAGAACAGATCGATCGATCGGAAGTGACGATGAGGAAAAAAATCGCTCTCCACGAGAGAATAATTTCGCTCTCCACGAGAGAATAGGGGCTTCTCGATCCAGATAATTCATATATTAAAAAGAGGATAATCTATATGCAACGATTATTGAGAATATTATTCCATGTGTCCTTTTCTAGGGCTTCTTTGTGCTATTTATATTACAATACAAGATTGTCAAGATTGTGTAAATTCTATGAGAAAAGTCAATGGCGGCTGTTTGCCACTTGTTCTCGTAATGTGACACCTGGCCAAGCGTCATGATGATTTGCTGAGTCGGCACCGCCTCATGATGTCGGTTTGACATGTCATAGATATCGGTTTGCCAAGCTGTAACCGACAAGAGATGTCGGTTTCTTGATGATGACGTCGGTTCTTTAGCTCACTCTTATCCGACATGTAGTTACTCGAAATCTGTGAGTTTATTAACCTCTAAGGTAGCATAACCTTCTAATCATTGAGCACCTGGTGCCGACAATTATTAATTATTTGGTTTAATGAAAACCATGTCAACAAGGTGGCCCCCAGCATTAATGGGCGTCCGGAAGAGGACGGGTATTGATGCTGTTGAATATCATGAAACTTTCAATTTGTGCAAGCCAGACATGTCGGTTTTCTGTCACTGTGTTCCGACGTCTCAATACTTGGTGTGAGAAAGAAACTTGAAGTTGAAACGGCACAGATTTCCAGAATTAAACACAACGTTCGCTGACGAGGCAACGATTACTTTTTATAGGCCACGTAGCTGCCATCGATAGGCGCAGTTCTCAAGGGTCGCATTTACTCGTGAGTGTAGAAAGTGTAGCCCACGCGCCCTTATTTCTTTTCTTCTTCAACGGTCGTTTCTGAATTTAGGGTTAGGTATAAATACTAAATCGTCCCCTGAATTCCATCTTACCCTTAATTTTTTCTGCAATCCAACTCTTTGTGCTCTTGCAATTTTTTGCTTCCTTTAATTTATTGACTCATTACTTATTCCATCAAAGCGCTTTTCTTAGATCTGCAGCTTCATTCACGCGGTAAGACATATTTTTCAGTTTTGCTTATCTTTTTCGGTATATTTTTCCTTGAATCATGAGTGCATCGTGGGCATCTTCCGGTGATGACGAGTTGGACGTTATGATGATCAACATGGTTCACTCCGGGGAGATGTAATTGCATTCTGAATATAATCGTTGGGATCCGACTTTTGTTGAACATCTGAATATCCGATTGAATGACACTGAAGGGGATAAAAAGGTGGAGGAAAACTCCGTCGATGATCCAAGATAGTGGAGACGGCCTATTAGAAGGTGGCCAGACCCTAATGTGGATTTTCACGGTGAGCCGAGTATACTGATGGATGCCGATATCATTATGTTGCGAAATGAGGTCCGAGCCCCTACGTCGGTGCACTTATTTGCACCATACCCTGAAGAAAGGATTACATGTCCTCCGCCAGGGTGCATTGGCGTATTTGCGGAGAGTCTAAGATCGGGATTACGATTCCCCCTACCATGCATAATTACTGAATATTTACGGAATTGGGAGTTGACCTTATGTCAGATTGCTCTGAATTCATGGAAGCGGGTTATCAGTTTGCTCGTACTTCTTGCAGAGAAGAAGTGGGATTTACCGTCAGCAAGTGAAATGAGAAGTATGTTTACTTTCCGGAAAAGTCCGGATAGACAAGTTGCAGATCCGCTTCTTACGTTCTCCATTGTCGGTAAACCTCAGCCAAGAGTCAAGGTTGGCGAGTTCATAATGAAGGTTCCTGATACGCTCTATGGTTTTCAAGAAGAATGGTTGTGGGTTGGCGGAGATTGGCAATGCGCCGATTTCGCTAATGATCTTCTCGCCAATGGGATAAGTATCCCGATGGCTGTTAAATCTGCTTATTGTAAGTTAATTTTTCTTTTTCTTCAGTTGAAATATTAATTCCTTGTTTTTTGTCTTCGCTAACAGGTGGACTTTTGTGACATTGTAGCCAAACCGCAAGGAAATAAAGAACCTCGATTGGAAGGAGTGCTATACGATCGAATTGATAGGTTATTCGATCTTTCTCCGAAGAAGCGAAGATATCAGCGATTGGTAAAAGATTTTCGGTTGGAGCTCGCTGGTCTGTCACCTGGGATTTTGGATACTTCATTTCAACCTGGTATGATATTAGTTGTCTTCTTCTTTATTTTGTAGCGACAACTTCGGTTTTAACTTGACATGGTTTGTATGGTAGTATATTATCCGCTGTTGGGATATTTTGGTTTCGGAGATTCCATAAAAGCCGAAGAACACATGAGGCGTAATCCAAACTCAGATTTGAAGAACAAAGTCAGAAAAGGCAAAAGTCTCCGATCAACTGAAATGGCCAGACGTATGAACTTGTTCAAAGCATGGAAAAAGAACCCGAACCGCACTCGTGTTGTTTTCGATTGTAACGCCCCGAATTTTATTAATAAAAGAAAATACTAGCTTGTAAATATAAGCTAGCCTTTGTTAATAAATATTCATGTTAATATTCAAGTCTAAGTTAATCAGCTAGTTAAGTTTCAAGTTCGATGTTAAGTCGAAAATGTATCCGGTTAATTTTATTTATTAACCGAGTCAATGATAATAATTAATCTCAGTCTATTTATGTTTATAATGTTGGGTTCTATTAGGAACGTCGACAATGTGCACATTCAAATCTATTGAATAATAAATCCTAACGCAGCGGAATCTATAGTTAGGATTAGGACTTACGGTTTTA